TGACCTTCCATTATTTGAAGGCTATAATGCTGCAGAGTTCTAGCATTCTCTGTCCTTGCCTCTTCCAGTGACAGCATGGCCGTAACATCAACCTCATCGCATTTTGGCAGTGTTTAGGGAGCTGTATTTGTACTGATTTATCCTTTCATAAATTCCAAAGAAAGTCTCACTCAACTGAAAGCTTTAGAAACATATGAAACTAATGTAATTAAGACACTGTTTAAAAATTCTTGGTCTTTCAGATAAATCTTTCCAAGCCTAATTCCACCTAATTAGTGGACAAAGACAGAACAAAGAGAGATTTTAAAAGGAGTTTGTATCTTGAACACTTAATGTGAAATATAAATTCAGACCGGTTTTGTAGCTGAATACATATGAGGAACAGAATATTGTTATGCAAAGGATAGGGATACTGCTGGTTTTATCTGTAAAGGAGTGCTTTAATGATAGCTCTTACAGTGTGGAATGGATATACAAAGACAGCTTGAGTGACTGTGATGTCTCCTGCAAGTAACTGCTATCTAGGTGTGTGTAAGTAAGAAGACCAAAATTTTGACATATTTTACAAGTGTGCAGTGTTGGGGACAGGCAGACTGCACAGAGGGAGCTGCAAAAGTTAGTAGATAAGAAGCTTCTCACATATCTGGGAGAAAATATTCAAAAACCTAACTATCAGCAAGACTGTAGAATTTGGAAGGCAAACAATGCTCAGAGACTTGCCAATGATACAAGCAAAACAGACATGAGCTTTCATTGTAATAGGCAGGAGATGGAAATGAATGCAATGTGGGCTTTCTGTGATGAGGCAGAGAGACAGATGAGTGGTGAGTCCCCACACTGTTGTCTCTTGTGTTTGTGACCACTGCTGAGCCTGGTTCTGCACCACTAGTGAGGAGGAGATGGGCACAGATTTCTGAAAAGCATAGGAATGCTGAGTTCTAAAAAGATTTTGAGCAGCCATATACTTAGCAAAAAAATCAAATATATCATAACCTTGAGCACTTGAGACTTTGGGGGACTTGGGGCATATATGAAAGAAATAGAATTCTGAAGCTGCATGCATTTACATTCCTGATGAGCAATAGATATATTCTTTAAATTAAATGTCAATTAGGATTCCAACAATAAGAACTTTTTTTGTGACAGAGAGAAAAATCTGGAGTGGTGGTGTTTAATATCTGCTCAGGAAGAGGAAGGGGCTGTGATTTAGGGTTTTGCAGTTTTTGTACCAGAGTGATTTCCCAGGGAAATGAGGAATCGCTTTCCCATCCCTGGAAAGGTAGTGTTCTACCTATAATAAGTGTGAGTCTTTGTGAGCCAGTGCAATGGGAAGCATTTTGTATTTCTGTGTCAATAAAGAAGAGTTTGAAGTGCTGCCCAGGTATTAAACTGGAGTATTGGAGTGAGATATCTCATTTTTCAGTTCACTGGAAGGTATAATTAGATGTGGAAAGGTTAAGTGATTTGTCTTATGTTGCCCAAGTCTGAGGACCTACCAGGAATGGAAATACCCTTGACTCCTCTCTTCTTAATAGCACTAAGCCAAGGAAGCTGTACAAGCTCTACAAGGATTTCCTCGTATGGCAAAAGCCTTCATTCTCGGCCCAATTCCAGTAAATCAGGGAGGCTAGTGATAAATAACCAAAGAAATACCATGCATTATTCACATGCTTGTGAACAATGTGGAATGTGAGGGCTGAGATGCAGGAGGTAGCTGTGCCTGCCCAGGAAAATGCCTGAGTGGTTCAGGTGGCTGGTTGGCAGGGTTCCACACAGCATATATTCCTTCTTAGTGATGAATCACGTGTAATTTCTTTTGCGGATCAAAGTTTGAGAAAGAGAGGAACCAACTTTGGGTCCATATTTTTAGCAGCAGTTAGCAGTTTTAACACCTGACTCCCATTGAAACCAATGAGATTAAGTACCTGAATACCTCAGTAAATGTGTTCCCATAGCTTTTTTCATGCTTCTGTGGGCAAGGTAGGTTGCTGAATAATTCACATTTTTGTATTCTCCCAATTTTTGCAGATTAGGACCTTGAAAAATGCTTAATGATGACTTACTTCTTTCTGATGTCAATGTTAATTTGAGACATGTGAGAGTTGCATTAGAGTTCAGGACTACTGAAAGACATCATGTCAGTGCTCTTATTTGAATTTAGTGGGTTTGTAAAAGTGGGCAAAAATAGATTGTTACTGCATGTACCTTTCCATGACCCCAGAGTTTTGTGTAAATATTTTGAAATTGATCAACACTGAAAAAAGTAAAATCTGATCTCTGAAATGTTCATTGAATTGCAAATGGAATGTTCACTGAAAGAAAACCCCTAAGAGAGCTAAAGCTCTCCAAAATATGTGTTTTTTTCAGCAAATATTGTAAAATCTTATTTCAGTATTCCCATTGTTTTCCCTATAGCATTGCAGGGATAAAAGCCTCCCAGAAGTTCAAAGGGACTACTGCCCAAAATAAGCTTTGAATTTAGGAATCACTTGGTTCTTGTCAATCATGAAGCCATATGCATAAAGACATTTCAACTCTTTTTCTATTGTTATAGCAGAATTTAATGTTTCTAGTTAACAAATGGGTAAAGGAGAATGAAATAAGATTGAAAATTCCAGATCTGTTGCAGCAGCTGTGACTACTGGTCAGCCTCTAGTGGCCAAAAATAATGTAAGTATTTCCCTGAACTGCTATCACATTCTTGACGTGATAGCAATCAGCTGATGCAAATACTGAATGTTAATGGTTGATTATTATTTCATTTGTATTGCAGTAGTATCATAGAGGTATCTCAGGAAATGACCTCCACTATATTAGACACTGTACAAAGATGATAGAAAATGACCCCTGAAAGACCAGCAATATGATCTCTCCTTTCTTGTTCATTGTTTTATACCATTCCTCATTTCTCTTTTGTTTAGTTTCTAAGTTATTCATGTTATCTCAGCCATGCCAAACCTCAGATGGCTAACTGAGGCTTGAGTTTTTCATCTTCAGTGTGCTTATTTTTTCTTTTTCCTTTCTGGTAAGTCCTTGCTTTTTTCTTGTTCTTTCTCACTGAACTCATCTCTACCTCTTGAAGAAGTCATAGAATCATAGAATCACTGAATGATTAAGGTTGGAAGGGACCTTTCAGAGGGCTGCCCTTGGTAAACACTGAAACAAAGAAGGCATTCAGTAACTCTGCTTTTTCTGTGCTTTTCATAACCAGGGCACTCACCTCATTCACCAGTGGACCCACATTCTCCCTAGTCTTCCTTTTACCATTGATATATTTGAAGAAATTATTTTTAACATCCCTTCCCAAGTTTTGTTCCAAACATGCCTTAGCTTTCCTTGTTGTATCCCTGCATTCCCTAACAACATTTCCATATTCCTCCCAATGGGCCTATTTTTCCACATTCTGTATATTGCCTTTTCCTGCTTGAGTTTTGCCAGGAGCTCCCTGCTCTTCCACGCTGGCCTTCTGCCCCAGCATCTGACCTCTTACTCACAGCGATGCACTGATCCTGAGTATGGAGGCAGTGTTGCTTGAATACTAACCAGCTGTTTTGCATCCCCCTTCCTTCTAGAGCCCAAGCCCATGGGATTCTTCCAAGCAGATCCCTGAAGATGCCAAAGTTAGCTCATGGTTACAAGGCTGCTTACAGCTCTGCTGATTCAATGTGGGCTGGATCCTGAACTCTACCAACTCACGATCACTACAGCCAAGGCTACTCCCCACCTTCACATCTCCAACAAGAAGTTTCTCTCTGTTTGTTAGGACAAGGTCCAGTAGCCCACCTCTCCTCATTGGCTCCTCCACAGTCTGTGTCAAAAAGTTATCATCAATGCACTGCAGAAATGCACTGCCTCACTGTGTTGTCTCTCTGGTTGATACCAGGTTGGTTGAAGTCCCCCATGAGAACCAGGGCCTGTGACCATGAGGCAAGTTCCAGCTGCCTGTAGAAGGCCTCATCCACTTCCTCTTCCTGGTCAGGTGGTCTGTAGAAGACACCCACCACAGTGTCTCCTATGTTAGTCTGCCCTTTAACCCTCAACCACAAGCTCTCAGCTTGCTTATCATCCACTCCCAGGTTGAGCTCCATGCATTCCAGTTGCTCTCTCACATACAGAGCAACTCTACCACCTTGTCTTCTCATCCCGTCCTTCCTAAAAAGCACATAGCCTTCCATGACAGCACTCCAGTCATGTGAACTATTCCACTATGTCTCTGTAATTCATCTCTCTGTAATTCCTGTCTCTGTAATTCCAATGAGATCGTGTTGCTGGAACTGCACACAGATCTCCAGTTTGTCCTGTTTATTCCCCATGCTTTATGCATTGGTGTACAAGTATTTAAGGGAAATATTTGAGCCTGAAGGTTTCGTAGGAGGAATGAATGAGGAGCCTCTATAATCATACCCTATACTCCTCCATTACCATTGGGCACTTTCAGACTTAGTCTGCGAGATATTTATTGCCCTGTCCATGTGACATTCCCTTTCCTGGTCCTTGCTTAGTTTAAAGCCCTCCTAAACAGGCTGGCCAGCCTTTTAGCAAAGACGCGCCTGTCCCTCTTGCTGAGGTGGCTCTCCTCATTCCCCACTAGGTGGTGCTCTTCAAACAAAGTCCCATGGCCATAGAAACCAAAATCCTGTTGCCAAGACCAACGGTGCAGCCAGTTGTTATTCCTGAAATAACCACCTTCTCCTCCTTGAATCCATTCTCCTCATTGTCAGGATAGAGGAGAACACAACCTGGGCTCCCAGACCTTTGATGGACACCCCTAGGGCTCTGAAATCTTGTTTGATGTTGCTCAGTTTCCCCTTGGTGTCGTTGGTGCCCACATGAAACAGTAACAGGGGATAATAGACTCCTAGACAAGCCTTGGCAGCCTCTCTGCAACATCCCTTATTCGAGTCCCTGGAAGGCAACAGAACTCTCTGGATAAGGGGTCAGGTCTACAGATTGGTACCTCTGTGCTCTGCAGCAGGGAGTCACCCACAATGATCACTCACCACATCTTCCAGTGAGTCCTTCTCTTCCTTATCGCCTGTCAGAGAGTCTCCACCTTTTCTTCATTAAGGTTAGATTTTCAGTGGGCTGATTCACAGCAGTTTCCACAAAGTTAAAAAAAGAAAAGGTGCCAACTTACCTCTTCTGAGTCTAGCCTCTTCTCTTTGATCTCAGAAGTGTTTTACCATCTCCCACCTCCATCATACAATACTTAGCATTGCATAACATTGTACAAACATTATCCACTGAAACATCACAGTGATAGGATAAGGTAGATAAATATTATGCTTTTTACACAGATAAGTAAACATAGGCAAAAATGTAACTAAAGCCAAGGTCAGAGTAGTTAATGTACAAGTTTATATCCTTTGTTCTCAGCTGTGTGATACATCAGCTACATTTCGTGCTAATGCACAGCTGGTCTTTGAGGCCAGTATAATAGAGGAGCCATTAGCAGTGGCGAAACTGTTCACAGTGATACTAATGTTTGCAGATTGTAACACAAGCTCTATCTTGTGTTATCACCTCTATTCAACTCATTACTTCAATAGATTCATGAGCTTCCTTCTAATCAAAGTCCAGTCATTACTAGCACTTCCAAAGACAATGATTGAAAACAATTTTGTGTAGTGAAATTTAGTTTTGTTTCTGTTTAGAGTTATCCTTAACATTCACATAGTCTTTAAAAAAAACGGATGGCACATAGTGCTCTGGAGGATATTTGAACAACAAGTAGAAACTTGGAGGGAATCCTGGAAAGCCATAGGATTATTGCCAACTGTACACATGGGCAACATATACACTTTCTGGGCTGCCACAGCCAGAGGCAAACAATTGCAAGGACACCCTTTTGCCCCTTCCTCTCCATATTCTTGGATCCCTTTCCGAAAATCTTACTTGCAATTAAGTAGTTAGTTTCACAATGCTCTGGGCTTTGAAGAACTCATTTAGTTTCTGAGGTTTTCCAAAGTGCTCCCACATGGCAGGAAAGTTTTGCATAGAAAGAACCAAGGACATCTCTTCAACAGATAGTCTTGAAATGATAGAGACTGCAAGTCTCTATCATTTCATATTTCATATGCAAGTCCCAAGCTCACTGCAGTAAGCTTGGGAATCTGATTCCTCCCGTAGTATATTGCATAGGCAACTTTTAGAGAGAGAAGATCAATAAAAAGATGTGGCAATAGCTTCTAGCTTGCGAGAAAAGGGTAAATTACTGAACAAACAAACAAAAAAACCCAATACTGAAATCAGGGGGAAGAATTTGTTTATTGACTTTAGGGAACATAAATCCTACCTGAATAATGATGGATGTGGGTGTGAGCAAGTTTTTCAGAAGGTAAATGAACTTTCAGAAACTGTTTTAGATTATGAAGACCATGGCTATATAATCCAACTAATTAAGCAATAGAAATTTAAAGGAAAGTATCAGGAAATGTTTCCTAATAGTGAGGTCTGTTAGTCAGGAACTTATTCTCAAGGGAGAGAGGAATGTCAAAACTCTTTGGTGCATGAGAAGTAAATGGTCCTTTCCTGCCCTCTTCTGGAGGGAGTTCCCAGAAGCTTTTCCATCCTTGACTTCCTCTTATTTTCTTTGAACAGGCTGGTATCTGATTTAATTTTTCTGATTTAATTTTGTAAAATTCAAGAGCACGACTGTAGGTAAAGTTGACAAAATCAAGAACAGCTTTAATGAGGCCAGAAAAGCAGCAAATGGAGCCAGTTTAAGGGGGTTTACTGAGGTGAGTGAGTGGGACTGATCAAGAGAGACAGCCCAGCTTCTGTCTCATAGAGGAATGACCAGGAGCATGTGTCCACACATAGATTTGACAAGCACAAATGATGATCAGAGATTGGTCAGGAACACAGGTTTATACAGAAAGTACCAATTTTCTTCATTCAATTCTATTAGTTTCTTAGTTAAGCTTAGTAGGAAGGTGGGAAAGGACTGGAAGTTCATCTAATGTAAAGAATACACATTAATACCAGGTATTCCTCAGAAGCAGAGAGAGAAGTATATCATTGTCTAGTCCACTGAAGTCTTGAAATGTCCTGATGTCTACAGCGTCCCAAGAGCACTAGACACCACTCAAAGGTGAGTAGAGTGAGCCCCCTGAGTGTTCTGGGGTGCTGTTCCAGTCTGCCTCCTCTTACAAAGATAGAAAGTCTAGAGCTAACTTAACCATCACATTGTGATTAGGGGCCACTTTTGATGCTTATATATGTTTCAAAAGAAAACATAACATGAACATTTTGGAAATTTGAGCATAATTTTATGGCTACAGATGCTGAATCAGAAGACAGTAAATTGAACTAGTGGGTCCAAAAGATGGAAATCCCCCCCAAAACAGTAAAGGTGTTGACTGAGAAATTACTTGAGTAGAGCTAATAAAAAGAAAAAAAGAGAAACTGCAGTGGGCTTTGTATATGCAGAAACCCTCAAGACAGGAGATGTATTGCTTAGACAGTTGTATTCAATTTCAAGCACAAGGTAATACAATCAATTGCAGCACTAGAGATATAGCTATGGTTAATATACAGAAAGCACAATCAAACATGCCATCTCCACAGATGTTCAAAATGATGAGGAAGATAATTTATTATATCAGCAGTAGAGACCTAGTCAGCAAAGAGGCTGCTTGGAAGTTGTTTTCATGACTATGTTACAATTGATCTGTCATTGCCTACTGGGCACTTGGATTCAGCCTGCCATTACAGCAAGCAGCAGGCATGAAGTACTATATCAGGGCATAACAATATCTGGATAATTAAGAAATAGTACATCTGATTCTGCTTTTAATTATACAGACACAAATGTACTGATTGAACAGATGAACTGAGCTGTTCAAAAGCAGGTTATGTTCCAAGGTCTTGGTCTATATAGCTGAGAGGTTCTGGTGTTTTCTTCTCAGTTGTGGAGTTTAAGGAATATCCAGGTCAAGGTTCTCTCTCTCATGTGTACCTTATCCATGGGGATTTGCTGTATCCTGGCTGCTAGTGGGAAGTGGACTATCATTTATGTTCCAGATCATTCAGGAAGCTTCATAATGCTTGAAAGTTCTTGCATCTTAATTATTAAATTATTCATTATTAGTGTGTTTTATATATCCTATCTCTCTCTATATAGATAGATATTATTTTAGCACGAATGTCTCTTAAATTCTAGCTGCAGCTCTCAGTCATTTTTTGATTTAAGGTAAGAAAACTCAGCTCCTTCTTGCAGAGAGAAATGCTGCACTTACTTAATTCTGTATGTGCCTGCAGTGCATTGCTCCACTCCTGCTGCAAGCTTTTAAATGTCTGTAACCCAGGATGTAGCTAAAGCAGAAGATGAGAAGTGTCTACCGAGACATGGTTTGAATTTTGACTCCAGAAAATTCTTGGGGTCATGTCTGTGCCCCTTTTTTTTTGTCTCTGGGTAAAATGGGAGTAATTTGTGCAGAGGGCTACAGAGAAAGAATATAGTCATACCTGCATTTTTCTCAAAAGTCTATCAATTCATCTAAATTTTTGTGGCAGCTTGCTTACACCTTGCAGATGGGATATTCCCATCCAGAATAAACAAACATAAAAGAAAAGACTGTAAATATTTATAAATAATGCCTTTACAGAATATTAGAGTGAACTTCTGTTTCAAAAATATGGACAGCATTTAATTAAGCATGAGCACATGGAAATCACAGTGCTCTTTTCCTAATCACTGTCAAAATAGGTGTCAAACAAAGGAATGGATTAAAAAAAATATGTCATAAAATCCTTGCAGGAGCACCTTGTAGGTTCTCAGCAGACCAGCACCAGTTAAGCCTCTGACTTGTATAAGCACTTCACATATAAGAGCATATCTAATTCAATCACCAGCAGATTGGAAGTTGTCTGCATGCCTCCCATATAGCATATTCTTGCATGCTTGAGAGCAATCTTCTCATCAGCCTTCCCTCTTGTCTTCCTATCAGTCTATGTGCCATCTCCCACTCTACCAGGCATGTAGCACTAATCCATTTTGCTCAGTCCAACAATTTAACAGCTCTAAATATTCACATTGGTTAAATGGATGCAGAAGAAACATTAACAGCATCATTCTGCTAGCAAGAAAGTGGGAAAACAGCAGAAGGCAATATGGCTATTAAGGCCTTCTACAAAGGATCTGCAAGAAGCCTTGAAGAAGGCTTGGGAAGCCTTGAGAAGCTGTAGGTGCTCCCAAGCTCTTGCCACTGCTTCAGATGATCCTGGGCTTTGAAAAGAACCAGCATCAGGTGATGAAAGTGGGAGGAGGCTGACAGAAGTTTTCATTTGCCTTTCCTTCAGCACTGGAGACCTTGTGCATTTCCCTAACAACTTCATTCCTGGTGTGAAACAGACCTTGACTTGTGGTTTTGCTCACTTGAATAAGTGATATCTGACTTCTCTTTATCCACTGGAGGTTAAACAGAACTGAAGTTGCTGATGTTTCCCAAACTGCCACAGTATTTATGTGTAAAGTCCTTATATCAACCATTTTGATATGGCATATTTGTTACATCTAATCTGTCTTTTCTTTTCTTGATGATTCCTGAACTCTTAAAGAATATATTTCAATTGTTATTGGTTCTAGTGGAGGTAATATGTGCTAATAGAAATCTCAAGAGATTTCAAGCACTAGCTGGCTGCAAAATCTTTGATGATCCAAAATCATGCTCCAACACTCAAACTGGAAGGCAGATTTTCATCATTTTGAACCGAGACTTAAGGCTGAAATGGAGTGAGAAGAGGAGTTGCAGTGGATGTCCTGTTTCCTCATTCTTTTTCTCAAAACCTAACTACACTTCTCTAAAGACACTGTAGTGTTTTAATATAGTGAACATACCATTTTTCCCAGGCTGAGAGCACTTTGAGTGAAAACAGGCAGTGACTTTATGATTCAAGCCTTGCACCAATTGTGTTGCAGAATAAATCATATCAAATGAAGGTCGTTCATTAATCTGGTTGCAGTAGGAGCTTTTGGTGAAGGACAGCATTCAAAGTGTGCACTTGAAAGATATTGGCATGCTGCAAGCCTGCCACACCCCTAGGAATCCAGAAAGAATTCTTCAAGCATGAGAATTGCTCTTCCCCCAACAGCTCTGCTGTTGCTGCTGC